TAGAATTTATATAATAATTAACTCCTTTATATCAATATTTATGCATTTTCTAACATTTACCAATATATTTCTTTTTCTTCCATTTAGCATTTCTCTGAGTCATGTTCGAACCAAAAACAAATCTGAACAAATTGTTGCTACAAAAAGCATGGAGGAAATTGTATCAGATTCTAAGTTACCAATCATTGGCTTAAAGAAGAAAACAAGCGAAGACAGTTTGGCAACCAGTTCTCCTACCCCGAGATTAGAGTTTGTATTCTCTCTTTTACAGTTCACTCATATCATTTAAATACATATTACATGCATAATATTTGATTCATATCTTCATTCCTCACTCAATCTTTATATATTAAATTGTAACAAATTGTGTTGAATTTGACAAAATCATCATTTTTGTGATATTCTGATTGATGCTTTGTTTTAATATTGGGTCACTTTGAATTAAGGTATTATAAGATTAGGCACATATTGGGTTGCTTTGTTTTAATATTGGGTACATATGACTAATTGTGTTGAATTTGACAAAATCATCATTTTTGTAACTGAACATTTGGAAATACTATTAAATTGTTATATTTACAGGTGAATTTTTTTAGGAAATATTCATTTTTTAGGGGAGACTCTGCCTGTTTTTCGGCAGAAATGTCAAACCCTTAAGTAATTTTAACTTGAAATAAGGGCAAAAGACATTTTAGTCATATGTACCTAACACATAAAAGAATTAAAACCTTAAGGATTATATTTACATCATTTTCTTCAATTTTTCTTCAATACATCAAACCATAATTATTTTACCTCTTTTCAACTTTTCCTTTAGATAAACACATAATTTAAAATATGTTTACTTTGTGTTACTTCAATTGGAAAACCATCTACAACTTGCTCATTAGTTCTCTTACTCCAATATTAAAGTTTGTATCCTCTCTTTTACAATTCACTCATCTCATTAAAATACATATTACATACATAATATTCAATTATTCATATCTTAAAAGAAAAGAAAAACATTGATTTCTTATTTAATTTTGTTACTTTGTGTTTCTTTGATTGGAAAACCATTTATAACTTTCTTATTAAATTGTTAAATTATATTATTCATGTTCATACATAATTAGATGTTTATGATTATTGTCCTAACTCAATTTTCCCCATTCATCAACATTAACACTTGCTATTTCCCCCTTTTTTTTTATAACAGAGTCAAGACCTCCATCAAAGAGAAGAAAAGTCATGAAGAAATTGCAAAACAAAGCCCAACCAATTAAACAACATGTTGCTCAAAACTATCCAAATTTTGTTGTTTTGATAGCTGCTTCCCACTATTAACATCTCAATGTATATACATACATGTCTACTATTTTAACATAACAAGTAGCCTGTAAAATATGTTATTACTTCCTTTTTTGCCACTTATACTTCATTAGTTAAGCATAATGCTACAAGTTAAATCTCATTGTTTATATAAACAATCTTATTTTTTCTACGTAATTTCAAAACCCACAGCATCGCGCGGGCTTTTTTGCTAGTATATATGAAATGTCATGCTAGGTTATCTCATAAAGATAATTGAATAATCTATCCCAAAAAAGTAGAAGATTTCCCCCAAAATGAATAGGTCCTTAATAATCTTGTTTAATTATATATATATATATGGTTGCGCCACACATGTCCTCCATCTCACTCACTCTTCCTCAATGGCCCCCTCCAAATCCAAACCCAACCAAATCAATCTCTGCTAGTTAGTTTGAAGCTCCTCATCGACAGAAAGCATAAAAAAGTTCTCTCCGCCGAAGCTGGCAAAGACTTTTGTTGACTTTCTCTTCACCCTTTTGCCTCTACCCTTCGTCACTGTGATCAGGCTTCTCTCTAGGAAACGCATGGTTGGTTGTTTAGGCAAACTCTACGGTAGCTTAGAAAACCTAAACAACATATACTCACAACCTAACCTCAACAAGGATGTTCTTCTAAAACCTAAGAAGCTGCAAATGCCAATTGGTGGCACCCATTAACTCCTTCCTGCATTGACCGACGATGAATCAAACAATAAACCATTGTACACGTGTCGGTCATGTCAGCTGTCAAGCTTCTCCTACTATGGCGGCAAGATATGCTATGTGGTCGAAGACCCAAAGGCTATTTGTCCAAAGTGCCATAACTTCATTTCTAAACCCACGACTTATATTGCTCGGCCGACAATTGCAGCAGGCGGCAAGGGAGGTGGGTTTGTGAGAGAGGTTGTGACTTACATGATAACGGATGAAATGGAAGTGAAGCCTATGTCTGTCATTTCAAGTATTGCTCTGCTTAAAAACTTCAATGTTAGGGATGTTCATTCACTTGAAGAGACTGTGGTTCCTCTCGATAAGGATAAGGTTTGTGTTTATTAATTTTTTATAACGTGATAAATTACCATTCTATATATTCAAATATTGCACTTGATATTCTATAAGAATTTATGATGAAGAGCATTTTTGTTTAATTTCTTTGTTAGGGTTTGAAATTGTTGAAAGGCATCGTTGCAATCAAATGCAGTTATGACGAATGTGTTTCCTTAAGCAACATTTCAAGTTGACATTTTGAAGCTTGTTTTGGAATGTTTGTTTTTGAATATGGATGATGTATCCTTTGTTTTACAATATTAATTGGCTGAATGAATTGGATTGGGTATGTATTGGACTTCAAATTAATACAAAAAGATCAGATTCTTCTACTTTCTTCTTCTCTCTTAAAAAAGCAATGATGTCTTTTCACTTAAAAAAACAATGATGTCTTTTCACTTAAAAAAGCAATGATGTCATCCCTTGGGAACGGCAATTCTCGAGCAACATCAAATTAATTGATCTTTATAATTGCATATCTATACTGACTACCGAGGGTTGAAATTACCATCACCACCACCACCACCACCACCACACACATGGCTTTTTTTTTTAAATTTTTTTATAATTTATTTTTTTACAGTATCCATGGCATTTGCCCTCTTTTTGCTAACCCATATCAAAAGAGTACAGCCGAGCAATTATACTCCATTTTTTATTTTTTTTCCCTGAAATTAATAGCATAGCCGGGCGGCGATAATCCATTTTTTAAAAAATTTATTCCAATTTATAGTATAGCCGGGCGGCTATACTGTTTAAATATAATATAGGGTTATTCGCAGCAATGGTCCCTCAACTATACCCGTAGTTACACTTTGGTCCATCAATTCAATTATTAGTTGCGGGGGTCACTCAACTAGGTGCTATGTTGCACCAGTAGTCCCTCCGTCAAACTCTGTTAAATTTTCTGTCAAAAATGAGGGTAAATTCGGAAATTCATCCACAACCCTCCATTGTCGCAACCCAATCCTTGCTTCTCCTCTCTTGTACCAAAATCTGGGCAGAAAAAAGAAAAGAGAAAGACAACTCAATTGCTTCTCCTCCCTTGTACCAAACTCGCCACCCAATCCTTCCTCCCACCCCAACCCAGCACTCACTGTAAACCATCAACCATAAACATCCATCAATTTCTCTGTTTTTATATTTTGATTTTTCTATTCGTTTTTAGGAAGGTGTAAGCATCTATAAAGCCATCCACGGCAAATACTTGCACCACAAACGCAAACGAAAATTGTTCTCAATTTCTTTAGCTGCCACGACGCCATTGATGGAAGCAGACGAAGTAATGGAGCTATATGATTCTTACTGGTTTCAGCTCGGAATCTTCGAAAAGCAACCAAATTCATCAAACCCATCAAGGATTGAAGCAGACCCGGTTCTTGAAATTGAAGAAGAACCATCAAAACCAGAGCTTTTACGCATCCCGACCCTCTTCCGTACCAGGTATGAGCGACGAATTGAGCTCCAAAACAAGCTTCAACTTCAGCTCCACTCCCTCACCGGACTCAGTCCTCCACAGACCAAAGCTCTTCACCATTCTCTCTGGCAAGGAAGCCACAGAAGTTGAAACCCCAATACAGAGACATGTCGAAGAGTCGCCAAAGAAGATTACGAGACGGAGGAGGAAGAAGAAGAAGGGTGAGAGCAAGAGCTTGACAGACCTTGAATTTGAAGAGCTAAATGGGTTTATGGATCTTGGTTTTGTTTTCTTAGAGGAAGACAAAGAAGATTCAAACTTGGCTTCGATCATTCCTGGGCTGCAAAGATTGGGGAAGAAGGACGGCCAAGATGAGGTCTTTGACGAGTCTACAATTCCAAGGTCTTACCTTTCTGAAGCTTGGAAGGTGAGGGATCAAAGAAAGAGAGAGAAGCCATTGATGAATTGGAGGTTTCCTGCGTTGGGCAATGAAATTGACATGAAAGACAATCTCAGATGGTGGGCTCACACAGTTGCTTCCACAACTGCTAATCGTGAATTTAGCCCGCCTAGCCGCTAGGCGTGCAGAGGGTTTCTTTTGTTCTACACCAATGGGGTTGCAAATTTTAAGTTCGCTCAGAGAGAGAAAGAGAGAGAGAAAGGGATTGTTGTGGAGGAGAGGGAGGGGTTGTGGATGAATTTCCAAACTTACCCTCAGTTTTGACAGAAAATTTAACAGAGTTTGACGGAGGGACTACTGGTGCAACATAGCACCTAGTTGAGTGACCCCCGCAACTAATAATTGAATTGATGGACCAAAGTGTAACTACGAGTATAGTTGAGGGACCATTGCTACGAATAACCCTATAATATATAAAAATAGTATGGCCGCGCCTTTATACTCCGTGTTTTTTTTCATTTTTTTTTCAAATTAATAGTATAGCCGTGCGGCTATACGTTTCAAATATAAAAATTAGGTCAGGTATCGCCTTCTCCTTCCTCTCTCTATCTCGATCTCTCTCTCTCTCCGTCTTTCTTCCTAACAAGCAGCGGATCTTGCGCGCTTCAACCGCCCTTCATCCACGCCTCAACGGCAAACTGCCCGCCCAGACCCTCCTAGAGCTACCTATGACGCCTAGAGCCGCCTAGGGCCGCCTAGGCCGCCTAGAGCCGCCTAGGGTTCAGGGTTTTGTGTATAGAACTCTATGGTTGCAAGACAGTCCGACCGAGGACGTACTAGTATCTTATATGATGTTTTTGATTACTTTGAAGATGTTAGGGAACAAGGTGGAAAAGTTTTTGTTCATTGTTGTCAAGGGGTATCTCGGTCCACCTCATTGGTGATTGCGTATCTTATGTGGAGAGAAGGACAGAGTTTTGATGATGCATTTCAGTATGTGGAAGCAGCAAGAGGCATTGCTGACCCGAATATGGGTTTTGCTTGTCAGTTGTTACAGTGCCAAAAGAGGGTCTATGCTTTTCCTCTTAGCCCGAGTTCACTATTGAGGATGTACAGAATTGCCCCACATTCACCGTATGATCCTTTGCATCTTGTCCCAAAAATGTTGAATGATCCATCACCTTCTGCTATGGATTCTAGAGGTGCATTTATTGTTCATATGCCGTCTGCCATATATGTTTGGATTGGTAAGAATTGTGAGGCCATCATGGAAAGGGATGCAAGAGGGTCTGTTTTGTCTGATTGTATGATGTTAGTTCACACAGCTAAAAATAATTCATCAGCATCCTCTTCATCTTCATCGTCCTCTTCTTCTTCACCTCTATATCTATCACCGGATTCCATATCTTCTGAATCGAGCACTAGTTCGAAGTACTTTTCAGAATCCTCTATGGATTCTCCATCAGCAGCTTCACATGCTCTCTTCCAGTCTCTTCAACATTGTCAAATGATTCTGACATGTCTCTCCTCTCATCTAAATCTTCTGATCAACCCATGTCTAACAGTCCAGAAAATGTTGTTTCCAATTGTAGTTCACAGTCCTATTTGTTGGAAAAATGGCTCACCTAAAAGGATACAAAGTTTTTTGGCGCTCAAAGGATGATTTTGAATCTGCCTAAAAGCGACCGGTCGCTGGACATTTGCGACCGGTCGTTTTGAAGCAGATTCAAAGTCTCGTAAGAAGTCGACGAGCGACCGGTCGCTAGTTCTTTGCGACCGGTCGCAGGAACACGAGCGACCGGTCGCTTGACATTTGCGACCGGTCGCTTAGAAGCAGATTCGACGTCTGTAGGAAAAACTTCTGGCGACCGGTCGCCCATTCCTGACGACCGGTCGCTCCAGTCGTGCTGTGATGTTTTGCTTACGTATTTTCAACTGTCTTTTCAATGGCTATCGCTTTCCACAAGTTTGCAGGTGCTTAATGGGTCACTTCTGAGGTAAATGAAGGTTGACTACTTGCTGGATAGTTGGGAGAGCACTCATGGCTAATTGGTTATCTTGTTTTTGAATAATCTCCTCTCCATTTTCTGGTTTAATGGAGGTGGCTGAGTG